ACCGCCACTCACCTTGATACTACTACACTATACTCAATCAACCGCTTCTCACCTTGACACTGATACACTATAAACACCTAACCACTCACCTTAATACTATTACTGCCTGCCGCAGTGAGGAACTCGCTCTCTGAATCCCGGCGGGTCAGCAGATCTTCCTTTTGCGAGCCTTTCTTGCGACTGGCAATCGAGGCCAGGGCCAAATCAGGGATGCTGTCCGAAAACTTGAGACAGGGCACAGTATCAGCCACAGGCTCAGCACTGTGTGACACAGTCCTTCGCGCGGTGTGGACTACCTCGGGCGAGACAGTCTGTGATGGAGCGGCAGGGGTGCTCTTTATAAGGGGCGTACAGGGGGGCATGGTATGGGTAGGTAGGAATTGTAGCGGTAGAAAAACCTCGGTAACAGATCCTGCATAATGCGACACTGGTACTATCTCGGGCGGTGTATAGCGCAGTGGGTGTCGGTATGTGCGTAGTCAGGGTAGTGCTAAACCCAACCTGTGCTTGTGTGTGGGGGTTGTTGTTGGGGGGAGGGGGGGGGGGTTGCAGCGGGTGTGGGCAGGGGGAGGGGGAGTTTGAGCGACACAAACAATCTCCGCTGCAGAATGACTGAATGCGACAAGGTCCTTACAGAGACGACTAAATACGACAAAATCCTTACAGAGACAACGATATACAACAAAGTTCTTATAATTGGGTGGAGAAAGACACTCCACTGTCCGATGAAGTATGTGTATATGTCTATGTGAAGTAGTGCTTGTGTGTGCCTTTATATTGACCTATTGCCAAAAACAAACACTGTAGCTTATCTTAAGTTTGACCCATTGCTAACTACAACAGCTCTAATATAGCCAATATAGCCAGGTATAGTCTGAAAGGCAGCCGAACTCATCAGACACAGTACTTCGCTACGGCGTGAGATAGCCTATGTAATGAACAGGTGCGCATGAGTGGGCAGGCGAGGTCTTCTCCTGTGACACAGAATGCATGCACGTTGCATGGGGGACATCTCGGCCCAATGCAGATGCAACCTACCCACGCCAAGTGATTAAGCTTAACCGGGCCAAGCACTGCAGGTAGCGAATACGCTGACCTCACGGTATAAAACACGCACCAATACTGTACGTATACTGTATACACACAGTCCAAGGCCGAATAAAACATACAATCGGAATCACACGCACTGTGTGTGTGAAACAACAATAGAACAGCACATGCTATGTGTGTACATGTACTCGAGTACACACCTTCTGACATGGGGATCGACTGCGCGGCCTATGCGCGTGTGCGTGTTTACGAGACTCAACTTTGCGCATGCCTAGAGGTGAGGTAGGTACCACCTCCGTCGCCCCGTTGCTGGTCGGTGTCCAGTTCGAGCTGGGTGAGATACCTAAATAAACGATCGATTCTTAGTTATACCAGGTGGCGCCATGACAAATGATATATATACATATATAATATATATATATATATATATATATATATATATATATATATATATGTATATATTATATCTACATACATATATATATATATACAATATATACACAATATATATCTATATATCTATATATATATATATATATATATATATATATATATTTATATATACACATATATATGTATATGTATATATATATATATATAGAGAGAGAAAGGTTCACAATACATTACCCTTTTGAACAGGGCTTGTGTTGCTGCTGCTGCTGCCATTCTTTACACTTAGACAGCCGGCTTCTTTGAATGTGCTAGGTTCGATCGACTCTCTGCGCATCACATTGCCCATTGCCGACGATAGTGTAGTACTGGCAGCTGGTGTAGTAGAACAGTTTGTGCAAAATGATATGTGTAAAGCTTATAAAGACGAAGGCAAAGTATAATTGACACCACCGACAACAGAAACAGAGAGCGCGCAAAATAGGATAGTCGGGTTAATGCCAGGTACATACATAGGAGCGGGAAGAAGCATAGTGTACAGTTTAGTATATGTGCATGGTTACGCACTTTACTCACCAAATAAAAGTGAAGGGTCAAACAGCTATGAGAAATATTCAGATTGCAAAGAAAAACATCCCTTAGTGCATGAATACATCTACAGCGATCATAAAAAAGTCGCCAATATATATGAGGGCACATGGGATGCCGATTGAATATATACACAAAATCCACCAAAACGCCACCAAAACGCTC